TTATGCAAGACAGGTGGACGCTCTGCCACCGAGCTGCAGCCCTGCCCCAGCCCTCCTGAGGCAGGGACATGGTCCAGGTGGGAAATGGCCTGGCTATCCCTGATTTCCATCACCGAGGCCCTGAGAGCCAATCAACAACCAGGCGTGGGCCCTTGGCGTTGTTCTGCACTTGAGTTAGAGAGACATCCGCACAGGACTACTCCTGTTTCACGTGAAGTCAGAATTCTATTCTCGAAATTTATGTTTTTAAAGTGGCATTTTGAATTCTTTCATGTGATAGAAAACGTTAAGCACAAATTAGCGTTTCTGACAAACATGCTGTCAGTCAAGTGAGAAAAACATGCTTTGTTAGACAGGAGTGGGGCTGCACTGTTAATGTGAAAACTCAAACAGGATCTGGAGATCCGGACAAGCTCCGCCGCAGGACCCACGGCCCAGCCCGGCTGGCAGCCCCTCCGCCCACCTCCCTGGGCGCTGGAGAAAGGAAGGAGGCCGAGGATATCACACTCGATGGCGGAACACACTCGTTAACCTCTCCAGATCAGTGCTCACCTCACAGACTTTCACCGACTGGGAGCCCGGCGTGTGCCATCCTACTCTTGGTTTAGATGCTGGGTGAGAGGCCCTGCCCCGAGGAGAAGGGGGCAGCGCATGAGACCTACTTCGAACTACGGGGTTAGGGTGAGGGTGAACTGGTGGGTGTGGGTTAGGGGCACCTCAGACGGGGTGGTCAGTGGAGAGGTAACATGGTGATGCAGGAGCTGAGACTCCACCAAGACCCTCCCTACCCTTCTGGAGAAAAAGCCACCAAGATCCAGGCAGTGTTCCGGGAGGAGACAGGCAGTGCAAAGGCCCTGGGGCCCAAGTCCACTGTGAATCCGAGTGGGCTCAAAGCCAGCCCAGGGCAGGCCGGGTAGTAGAGTGAGGCTGGCAGAGTCTGGTCGGCAAAGCCCACTGGGTGACAGCCCAGGTGTTACATTGTTCTTTCAGCTTTATTGGGATAAAATCTACCTCCAGTAAAAACACTACCTTTAACTGTGCAGTTTGTTTTGAGATACATGCTGGGCTGCAGAGCCACCAGTCACACTGCGGTCGCACATGATAGGTCCCCTTCCAGTCTGTCCCAGTGGCTGTGCCTCCTGCCCGGTCTCTGGCGCTGCCTTTGCCGAGAGGTTGCCTGACCGGAACAGCGCAGTGTGCAGTTGGTGTAGGCAGCCTTCCGGGGGCTCCCAGTGCTCCTGCCCCGTCCCTGCCCCTCACTGCCCTACACCTGTGGGGACCACTTGCTCCTCACCAAGAGTGACAGCGGTCACAAGGCTGCTCTGTGAAGGCTGTGGCTTCAGCGTCACCCGCACCCTCTGCTGCCCCTTCTCCTGTGAACCGGCTCAGCCTCGGCCAGCAGCCTGGAGCTAGGCCCAGCCCCAGCGGCCCAAAAGGAAACCCCGGCATCCACCTGCGTAAGAGCGGAAGTGGGCGCTGGCTGCTGGCCGAGACCCGGATTGCAGAGACGCACGGTGACCACGGCAGGGCCCCTGGCCCACGGCCTCTGCTGTGTGGCTGTGGCTCGCTGGTGTCGGAGCCGGCTCAGCCTTCGCTCGCTCCACGGAACACTGAGGCTGCCCAGTGCCGCAGTCCCGCGGCCTGTGTTTCCCTCCGAGCTGCGTCCCTGTCTGAACGACCTCCATGTGTCAACCGTCCGCCGCCATGGTGGTTGGGCTGCATCCAGCTCTGACTGTAATGAGCGAAGCTGCTTTGAACGTTCAAGTGCAAACCTTCGGGCGAACATATGTTTCCGTTGCTTTTGGACAAAGCTGTGGGTGTGGGATTGCTGGACCTCAGGAAGACGCACACCTCACTGTAAGAACGCACCCATCTGCTCTCCCCAGCAGCTTGGTCTGCCCTCCCACAGCCCCTCCTTGGCCATGCCAACCACGAGGTCCACCTTGGGCCATTCTGCAGCAGGGGAAGGAGTCCTTGTTTTTCTTTTTCTCCTTCCCCTTCCCCTCCCCCCCCTTTCCTCGTCTTCCTCTTTCCTTTTCTTCTTCTTCTCCTTGGCCTCAGTCTTAAGAGACAGGGTCTCTCTATGAATTGTGATCAAAACATACGGTGAATACTGAAATTTTACCACAGTAAAAGACGCGCTGCCGCTACCTCCCTTTGAAGCCTGCCCCTCACCTGGAACACGCTCATCCCGTCACTCTTGCCGCTTTGCAGAGCGGCTCTGGAGTTATCTTGTGAATGTCCTCAGGGGTGTGATCAAAAATGCCGTGAAGGCTGCTGCCCAGTGCTATCCAACGGGAAGGCAGCTCATAAAAACACCACATGTTAGCCAGGCACAGTGGCACACGCCTGTAATCCCAGTACTCAGGAGGCTGAGGCAGGAGAATTGCCGGGAGCTCAAGGCTAGCCTGGGCTAGTGAGTTCAAGGCCAGCCTGAACTGCATAGCGAGACCCTGCCTCCAAAACAAAAAAAACTGCCACGCTGTGTCCTCACCTGCCATATTCACCAGAGCCAGCACTGTGCCACTGCCAGCTCTAAGACAAGGTGAATGCTTTGAATCGATTCTGGACACAGCAGAAGACTTCTAGGACTACTTCAGAAAGTGGCAAGAAAATGGGATGGGTGTGTGATGTGACGGAGAGTAGTTAGGGGGATCCATGGCAGTGTGTCTTACTGTAATAAATTACTTAAAATGTAAACATTCACCATATTTTTCTGTCACATGTGATAAGTAGTCCAGACTGTCCTCAAACTCAAGATCTTCCTGCTTCAGCCTCCTGAGTCCCGAGATTGCAAACATGCATTGCCATGCTGAGTGGGTATTTTCTTTTTTCTTTCCTTTTCTTTTTCCTTCAGTACTAGAGATTGAGCCCAAGCAAGTCCTTCCCACTGAACCACATCCCCAGCCCGTTTTTATTTCAAGAAAGGGCCTAAGTTGCCCAGGCAGGACTCAAACTTGTGATCCTCGTGCCTCAGCCTCCCAGAGGGCTGAGACTCCAGGCACACAGCACTATTCCTGGCTTAATGTGCGTTTTCTTAATGACTAAGCTACTGAGCATCTTTTTCTGTGCTTTTAAAATTTTTAATTTGTAGACGTATTTATTTTGAGTACTGGGGTAGAACTTTTTAAATTTACTTTGAGCCAAGGTCTCCTGAAGCTGCCTGGGCCGGCCTCAAATGTGTCATCCTCCCGCTCAGCCTAGGTGAGTGGCTGGCTCGCGGGTTGCGCTCCCTGCCTGGCCACGCTCATTTATCTGTATATCTTCTTGGGATGGCACATCATTCAAGCTTTTTGCTAATTTTAGAAATGTAATTGTTGCTCCTAGGTGTTGCTTATAAGATTTAGATTTGGTCTGTTGTAGATGTGGGTTCTGTAACTATTTTCTGCTGTCTGGGGTTTGTCTGGCTGTTTCCCTAACTAACAGCATCTTTGAGAAGCTGTACCTTCAACCCCCACGAAACCACCCATTTCACCAGCGTTCAGCGGCCAGGGAGCTTTCCAGGCCGGAACGTGGAGTCCCCAAGGGCTCCCCACACCACTTTGCGTCTCAAAGGTCACGGTCTGGGGTTCCCTGCGTCCAGGGATTTCAGAGCTGCTGCCCTCTGTGTTTTAAGTTCTTCAGTTGTTGGGGGGCGGTAAACATGTCCCAGTTACTCTTTTGCGGCCAGAGATAGAAGCGTAACTTTATTTACTTCGCTTAGTTGCTTGTTTATTACAGCCTCACACATGCTCGGCCATCACTCTACCACTCTGCGCTCACCCACTGTCACTGTTGAACATGTTTCTAAGAACACCGGCTCTCAGGCTAGCTCGGCCCTCTGCAGACCCGCCTCCTTCTGAAAGGCCTCCTTCTCGGGGCATGGGGCATACCCCGGGGTCATCAGCGTCTCTCGTAGCCACGGTCTCTCCTCCTGCTCTCCGTGTTTACTCGTGGTTTCTGGCTCGCGGATTTCTCGCTGGACGGCGGCTGACGTCTCCGTGTTGTCCAGTGACGTGTGCGGCTTCCCGCTGGATGTGTTACAGAGGTTTTCTCTACTTCTTATTTCTGGCAACTGGATTATTATACGTCTCTGTGTGAGCCTCCCTCACTACTCTGCTTCAGGCTGAGTTTCCTTGATCTGTGGATTTGCAGTGTTCATCTAATTTGGAAAATTTCCAGCCGCTCTGGGCAGGGAGTTTACCATCCCCTGGGCTCTTGCAAAGCATCAAATCCCTCATTCTGAGACGGACCCATCAACGGGCTGGGCCAGTCCCCGTCTTATGCTCTGGCCCCTGGGAAGCACCTCAGGCCCACTCCTGTGCCATCCACGCTATGGTACTTTCTCTTCTATCAGGTCCAGGTTATACTGCACTAGGAGTCACAGACAAAATTTCAACTGGGGAAGCTGGCGCACAGCTGTAGTCCCAGCTACTTAGCCTGAGGCAGGAAGATCACTTGAGCCTAGGAGCTGGCGGCCTGCCTGGGGAACACAATGAGACCCTGTATCTTGGTTACCTTTCTCTCATTGCTGAGACAAAATACCTGACACCCAAAATTAAGGAAGAAAAGATTTATTTAGCTCACAGTTTGTGGAGGTTTCAGTCCATACTCAGCAGGCTCCAAGGCAAGGTGGCACATGGCAGAGGGCAAACGTTCATGGTGGTGGAAAACAGCAAAAGCACCAAGAGCAAAAAGGTGGGAACAAGCCTCTTTTCCTCCCTTATATTGTAAGCAGACTACCCCCACTCCCAGGGCGTGTATAGCACTCACACCCACAATCTCAGCAGTAGACCACTGATCAACCACAAGCTCTAGAAGCCTGCCCCCATGAAAATGTGTATCAGTCAGGGTTTTACTAGAGAAACAGATATAACACAAGATATGCAAATGTATAAGAAATTACAAGATGTGATTACAATGGTCGGCCACAGAGTTGGATGAGGAAGTGTGCAGAGGGTGTCTGCATGCTGAAGATTGAAGAGCCCAGCCCCGGGCCTGGAGCTCACTGCAGTGTTCGGTGCAAGCCTGCATCAGGAGGCTGATGGGTCTGTGACAGAAGGCTGACCAATCTATGACAGAGGGCTGGAGGATCCAAGGTAGAAGCTGAAGAGTCTGCACTAGAAGCTAAGAGACGGCGTCCAAGCTGAAGGCAAAGGCTGGAGCTCCTCTGAAGAACGGAAGCCTGTCCATCCTTCCTCATTTCCCTTTTATACCATCCAGGTGACGAGCCACCCTAGGGTCCTCTACACTCTCGGATGTAGAATTGTTGAGCCTATTTAATTAGGCTTTTAAACTTCTCAATTTGACACAATCAATCAACCACTACACCCCCGTCTCAAAAGAGACAGACAAAATCTCACCACATGTAAAGATCTAACCGGCTTTCACTTACAGCTCACACTCCAGCAGCATCCCAGCCAAAAATGTAAAAGGCGTTCCACGGGGCACGGCGGAAGAGCAGTTTCGCCAGGTAACCTGGGTAGGATGAGGACACTGCAGAGCCTGGAAACAGACTGATGAACTTTGATGCCTTGGTTGTTTTCCTTCAGCGGCGAATCAGGGGCTTCCTTTGCAGGTGGGCCGAGACGGGCCTGGTAGGTGGGGAACGTGGCTGTCATCTCCCTCAGGTTTTGGCATCGGCAGTTTTGTTTCCCCTGAGCAACGTGCAGCTTGGCCTGAGGGACCAATCGCACTTTGGTCTGGTTCGTTGAGGCCAAGTGCAGGAGCTCTGTGCACATCAGCGGCCGCCTGCAAACCACACTCCTCTCCGGGCTCTGCTCCCAACTTGCACCTGGTTGCCAGCCTGGCAGCCAAGAGGGGGCAGTGTCCTGGGAAGAGCTCTGTAGCATGGGCCCTGTCCCACAGGGGCGGGGCCACCTCTGCACACACCCAAGCCCAGAGGTATCTGGGCAGTGATACGCAGGCCACCTGCCCAGATGTCCACACCCTCAAGCCAGGTTCCAGTCCATCTCACCTGGACCCTGGCCCTGGCCTCACAAGCACCACAGCCAGAGCCCACCTTATGTGCCTCACTCCAGCTCCACGGCCTCCCTTGGGTGGGGCTTTTGCTTCCACCCACTGTGGGGATCAGGGCCTCTGGTGGCGACCAAAATACTCAGGCTGCATCCTGAGTTGCCATGCTTTGCTGGTGGCCACCAGGTGTCATGGTCCCTCGGAGGGTGCCATGGTCACTGAGTAGCAGCTGGTCATTGTCTTGTCCGTCCCCAAGGCGGCCACACTGATCTCACCACCCTTCTCCCAAAGCTGAATTGGTGGAGCCCCCGTGGGCCAGGCCTTGTACAAGGCATCCACGTGCCACCAGGACGGCTCCTCGTCACCAGCTGGGAGCCAGCCAGTGGCCCAGTCCCAAATGCCAGGCTTACCTTCTGCTTTCTCAGACCGTTCCTGGTATCAGCCAGGCAACTTGCGCCCTGCAGCCAGACCATGAGCTGGAACTAGGAGTGTGAAGGCCGTGCTAGGACTCGTGCCTACTAGAGTTCTCGGGGGAGGGAGGATTTGGGCTGAGCCTTCGGGCCTCAGCACCCACATGAGCTCTGCAAAGGGACACAGGGAGCAGACAGGACGGGTAGGGGACTCTAACTCCACTGCAAACCAGCCCGGTGTTGGGGAACAGAGGGTCTGTGTCAGTGGCCGTCCAGGGGCCACGCAAAAGGACAGTGGTCGCAGCACACATGCTGCCATGGGTCCCTGCAGCTGGAGGTGGGCCGCTGGGTGAGTTCCTCCTGGTAAGTGCCAGTCCTTCCCCGAGGACAGTGAGAAAGCAGCGTCTGGAAGAGTAACTTAGTACCTAGCACCCTTCAGAGCTGGCCATTGCCTTGGATTTCTAAGTTAAACCCATGGGTATGAACACGTTCGAGGTGTCGATCCCCTGCCATTTTGTTTCCATACTGAAATTGCCCTTGTTTTGGCCGGTGGGAGCCCCTTCAAATCAGCAGGTGCGTCCTCTGACACTGGACTCCGGGGCGTTCCTTGCGTCTCACTAGCAGGTACTCCAGAAGCTCCTCACATCTGCTGCTTCTCACCTGAGGTCAGCAGCTTCAGCTAGGAAGGGCCGACTGGGCATGGAGCGGGTTCGCTGTGGCTGGCCAGTGCCTGCGTCCAGGCTGGTGCTGTCCAGGAGGAGACGGGAGCCGCTGGCCATGCCGACTGCTGGGCATCTGAGATGTGTCCCACCTGACTGAGGAATGGGATCTTAGATCTTACCTAAAACCTTGTATTATGATCAAACATACGCGACATCAACTTTACCGCATTCACCTGTGTAAGGGTGCTGCTGGCGTCACTCAGCACACTCTTATCGCCATGAGTCCAGCTCCAAGGCTTCCCCGTCCCTCCAGGGCTTCAACTCTGTCCCCACTGAGGGGCCACTGCTCGTCGTCCCCCCAGCTTCTCCTGGAAGCTGCCACCTCGCCCTCTGTGGGCGATATGTGTCCTGCCCCTGGTTTGTTTCACTTAGTGTCAGATCTTCAATGTTCACTTACTTTGTGGCGTGGTCTGAATTGGATTTCTTTTCAGTAGGGAAGAACATTCCATCACATACACAAACATGTCCTCTCGTCGGATGGTGACCTTTTGGGCCAGGCCATCTGCCTGTCAGTGTTAGTAGTACCAATGCTGCTGTAGACATCGGTGGGCAGACATTCAAATACGGTATGAAATTTTATTTACTGTAAGTAGCCACCTGACCAGTGAGTAATCAGTTGGACAACTGTACACCTTCTCAGAAGACAGAATAAGAAATGTGTTTTAAAAGAAAACTATCAGTATTGGAGAAGTAGCACAGTGGTAGAGTGTTTGGCTGACACGTATAAGGCCCTGGACTCAATCCCCAGCACTGGGAAAAAAAATCATACTAAATTTTGCATTCAAATCCAAAATTCAGAGTTTTTACTTCTTATATTAATGTAGCTTGTCTAAAACTGAAAATACTGGCTCTTCATATTACTGGACAGTACTACTTATTTGCTTGATCTCACTTCTTTATTTTTATTTTTTGGTACTGGGAATGGAACTTGCAACCTCATGCCAGATGGGCCCTGTGTCGCTGAGCTAAATCCCTGGCCCCCCACTTTATATAATAATTCCACAATATCGATACCAAGATGACCAGGTTATGGTTTAGATCCAGAGTGTCCCCCATATCCCGCGGTGTGCAGAGGGTGACTGGGTCCAGGAATGAGTTTGCAGAATATGCAGCAGGAGGCAGGGTCTGGCTGGAGGGATTGCTGGGTGTGACCTGGAAGGAATCTCCTCCTGGCTCCACCCTTCTCTCTTTGCTTCCTGGCTGCCACAGGGTGAGCACCCTTCCTCCGCCAAGCCAGTCATGCAGCTTCTGCCTTAGACCCAGCAGCTGCAGACTGAGCCCCCGGAACTGTAAGCCAAGAGCCCTCTGCTCCTCTAGGCTGCATCAGGCATTTTGTCCCAGCTATGGGAAAGTGACTCATACACTAGGCTTATCGAAAACGACCTCAGTTTCTGCACAGACATCCTTGGTGCTGGCCTACTGGGGTTCCACATCACACTGTTGAGTTTCAAGTCTCCTGAAATCGTCCTTTTCTACATGTTAAATCTCTAACTTGAGCAGTTCAATTCATGTGTTTTGTTCTATTTCCAAGTTTTAGGATTTTTCTATTTTTATTTATTTTTGGTTTATAATTATATGATATCACAGCCAAATATACATGCACACTAAGAAAAGTCTAGTTTCTGGGCCGGGCTTATAGCTCAAAGGCACAGCGCCTGCCTGGGAAGTGTAACATCCTGAGTTTGATTCCCAGCACCAAAAAAAAAATTCTAATCAGTCCTTTGCTGGGTGTGGTGGCGCACACCTGTAATTCCAGCACTCGGGAGGCTGAGGCAGGAGGATTCTTGTGAGTTTGAGGCCAGCCTGAGCTACAAAGTGAGCTCAAGGCCAGCCTGAACTGCAGAGTGAGACCCTGTCTCAAAAAAAACAAAAACAAACAAACAAAAAATCTAGCTTCTATTGTGCCCCTGCCCACAGCTGGGTAACCATTTATACTTTACTTTTTCATGCATGAAAAGACACGTCTAGCCTGGCATGGTGCCCAGTGCCTGTAATCCTAGCACTGAGTGAGGCTGAGGCAGGAGGGCCGCAGGTAGGCAACTTAGCCAGACCCTGTCTCAAAATAACTAAAAAATACAAAAGGTCTAGGGGTGTAGCTGAGTGGTAGAATCCTTGGGTTGCATCCCCAGCAAAAGAACCAAACACACACACACACACACACACACACACACACACACACACACACAAGACACCGAGACCTGGGTGCAGCAGGAGCAGCCCCGTCTCTCTTAGAGAACGCCGGCGGGCTGACGGGTGACTCCGGCCGAGGGCAAGGAGGGGACCGGGCCGGAAGGGACAGGGCAGGTAGGTGCAGCGGGCAAGTGTCCCCGGCCGCGGTGTCCCCGCTGTCACCGGCTGCCAAGCTTTCTCCAGAAGATCGAAATGCTCCTGCTTTCCTAGGTTGCCGGTCAGAAACACGTAGGCCTGGCGGGGGCGACCTGTAAGAGCTAGCTGTCCCCGAGCCGCCCCTGGGTCCGCACGGGCAGAGCTCCACCTCCCGGAGCCAGGGGAACTGCCGGCCCAACTGCGCCGGCGCCGCCCCCGACCCCTGCCGCGCGAGAGCGTCGGTTGCCATGGAACCGCCTGGCCGCGCCGTAGCCACTGAGCGACCCAGGCCACAAACCGACGGACTTGGGGCGCCGCCACCGAAGAGGTGGGTAGTGAAGCCGCTTGACCCAGGCTCTGCGCGGGGCCACGGGTGCGGACTGCGGGCTGTGCAGGGGAGAAGGTGGGGCGCGGGGAGGGGAGAAGAGGCGAGTATGGGGGTGCAAGGGTGGGGAGGGGGAAGGTGGGGTGCGGGGAGGGTCGTGAAGGGAGAGGAGGGGCCTGCAGGGTAGCGGGAGAGGGTCACCGCGTCCTCAGAACTGGTGAGCTGCGTTGGCACAAGGTTGGCGGAGTCAACGCCCAGCGCGGGCGGCGGGATGTGAGGCGACGCCTGTCCGAGAGACTTCTGGTCCAGCTTTAAGATGCACACCCAGATTCCGGAGAGAATCAGCCTGTCATTTTGTTTTCCATAAAGGAATAGGCCTTTATCTGCACGATTTACTTGGCAGGACATGCCTTAGCGTCCACTCTGAGCGGGCACTGAGCTAGAGACTAGTGGCTGGCCAGGTGTTGCAGGTCAGGACTCTGCGCAGGTATTCCCTGCACACCACAGGTGTCCAAGCCACCAGTGCAAACAGCAGCAGCTGCCGCCCCAAAACAGTCTCCTCAGAGCCCCAAGCCCCGCTGTGCCACCTGAGACCTCTCCTCTTGTCTGTAGTGGACTCCTTTCGTGACGCTGATGTCTTTGCTTTCGTTTAATTTTACTACCTAGAAAAGCACTCCTAACAACAGAGTTAAGTTTCACCCATTTCAAACTTTACACAAAAAGGAATAATATTATATATTATTATTATTTTTCTGTATTTTTGAGACAGGGTCACACTATGCAGTTCAGGCTGGCCTTGAGCTCACTTTGTAGCCCAGGCTGGTCTCGAACTCACAACGATTCTGATCCTCCTGCCTCAGCCTCCCAAGTGCTGGGATTACAGGCGTGTGCCACCATGCCTGGGCTATTATATATTATTTTTAAATATTACTTTAAAATTCTGCCATTGTCTGGTCCCAGCCCCCCGGCAAGCACGTTTCAACAGCTGATCCCACAGGTTCCCAAAGTACCGGGATCTGGCCAGGTCACAGGTTGCCGAGTTTTCTTCCTGTCTGTGTTGTCACCTCCAGTCCAGAAATTCCTCAGGCTTCCCTTGTCTTTCCTTGTCTGACACTTTGGAGGTTCCCTGCCGCTTGCTTTGTAGAAAGCCCCTCCGCTGGGTTTGTCTGATGTTCCCACATCTTGGTTACTTTTCTCTCCTCACTGGCACAGAATACCCAACACCCAAAACTAAGGAAGGAAAGGTTTATTTAGCTCAAAGTTTGCGGAGGCTTCAGTCAGTAATCAGCTGGTTCCAGGGCAGGGTGGCATAGCACCGGGGCAACTGATCAAGCTGGCAGAAGACAGCAAAAGCAGCGAGAGCACGGGGGGGGGGGGGAGAAGGCCTCTTTTCCTCACTTATATTGTAAATAGGCTACCCACCTCAGGTGGGTGTAGCACTCACACCATCTCCCTGCCCTCCTCCTGCACAGGCTCAGGATGTTTACAAAGTGAGGACCCTGGCCCCCTGCCGAGTCACTTCGTTAATCTTCTGCACTTCTCAGATTGGCACAGTGAGCCACACCCTAGAGGGTGAGGGCCTGTCCTCCACACCTAGGCTGTAGAATGCTGAGTTACTTGGCTAAGTTTCCAGACCTCTCACGTTTACACAGTGTATCAACTATTACTGCACGTGATCGCATTCTTGTACGTCTTTGGCAGGAAAGGCACCACAGCTCGCTCCCACCTGTCAGGTGGGTCTCGGGGGTCAGTGTGTCCCATCTTAGCCACTTCCTTCACTGTGGGGACAAAGTGCCCAGTATCCACAGCTTAAAGGAAGAGCGGTGTATTTGGCTCACGGTTACAGTCCATGGCTGGCTCCAAGGCAGAAAACAGCAGGGCGGGGGCTCCTCAGTTGGTGGTCAGGAAGCAGGGAGAGAAGGGAGGAGCCGGGAAAGGAGCTTCAGCCTTCCAGCCCACGCCCCCATGAGCGCCTCTTCCAACCGGACACCACCTCCTCACGGCAAGTCAGCCGTGCCATCCCATGACTCAGTCCCTTTCCAGAAGCCGCAGCTATGAGCTCATGAGGCATCTGGATCCAAACCATAACATTCTGCCCCTGGCCCCTAAAAGACTCCTGTGCATCTCTTTATGCAAAATGCATTTAGTCTGTCTCTAAGAGCCACTAATGGTGGTGGTGGTGAGATGTGTGCTTCAAATCCCGTGAATAGGTCTTCCGTGGCATTGCAGGCTGCAGCTCTTTCAGCTTTTCTCTTCAGCTCACGGTGTGGTCTTCCTCAGTGGACATTTCGTGTTCTTGGCTTCTCCATCTTCCTGGAGTCTCAACTGCATCTTCAGCTTCACTCTCACAGCTTCACACACTGCCCTCTCACGGACACACTGCCTGCATCCCAGGCCTTCTAAAATGTGGGTAGAAACCTCCCAAACCTCACAACTCTTGCATGCTGCATACCTGTAAAACCAGCGCCATGTGGGTGATGCCAAGATCTGCCACCAGCTCAAGAAGAAGTCAGGCCCCTTTGGATCATGGCTGCAGAGGCCTCTGAATGCCTGGATAACTGAGGACTGTGAATCAAATCCCCAAGAACCAATTTGCTAGGTGGCCCTTTTCTAGCAGAGTGCTTGGGGAATCTCTTCTCAAAGCAAGGTCTTTCACTTTTGGACACTTGAGCTTGCAAAGGGTGGGGTCTTGCTGGTTCCTGAGGTACACTCAAGGCATCTTTCTTGTTATCCTGATGCAAAGTACTTGGCTTCTTTTTAATGCTCATCTTTTCAGCAACCGAGCTCTTCCCTTCTCCAACGTTTCAGACCCTCCCTTTCTGGCAAAACCGAAAACTTTAAAAACCGCTCAGCTGTGCCATTTGCTCTTGAGTCTCAGTGTAGATCTGGGTAAAATCCCCCAACAGTTCCCACGCCACAGCCTTAATTTGGCTGTCTTGAAATTTCCTCCACCAAATTAATTAGCCTGCAGCCCTTAATCTCAGTCTCCCACAAAGCCTGAGGGCGTGAGTAAAACTAGACACATTTTCTGCCAGAGCCCAATACATATGGCCTGGAGTTCAACTGTCAACGAAGTCCTTGTTTCCAGCTGAAACTCCCTGAGCCTGGTCTTTACCGGCTGTATTGCTGTCACAATTCTAGTCTTCTGGGCCCTGACCAGAACTTCTGTTCAAGTCAGCGTTCAGTTTCTCTAGTTGGCATCTGCATGCCTTTCAGACTCCTCCCACAAGCCAATTCCAAAGGCGTCTGAACCATGTGGCCGGGTAATTACAAAAACGATCCCACTCCCGGTACCACGTTTTGTTTTGGACACTCTCTTCGTCACCGGGACAGAATACCTGGCACGCACAGTTCACAGACAGAGAGCTTTATTTGGGCTCATGTTTACGGATCGTGGCTGGCCGGCTCCAAGACAGAATACAGCGTGGCAGAGGGGCTGGTGGAGGAGAGCCGATCACCTCGTGGCAGCTGGAAGTAGAAGAGAATTGAGGAGCCGGGGAGGGAGGCACATCCTTCCAGCCACACCCACAGTGGCTGCCTCTTTGGGGGACATTCTCAATCTGAGCCCCCTTATTGGTGAGGTTCTCTTTGGCATCTGCCAGCATCTCCACCAGGAAGTAACTTTTTCCCTTGTGGGTAGGATGCATTCTGTTGAGAGGTGCGCTGAGGCGTGTAGATGTGTCCTTCCTCCCTGGTGTGAGCTGAGTAACTCACAGTGGGCGGCTGCCCTCCCGCCCAGGCTCTGATTCTGTTCCCAGACCACCGCACGGGCTGCCTCCTCCCTGCAGGGTGACACCACCGCCCAGCACAACCTGCCTCACCTGCCCGCCCAGGGTCCCTGTTCAAGAGAGAAGGAGGAAAGAACAAGACTTCATGTCTCCCACCCTGCTGTCGTCTCAGAGGTCCGTCCAAGCTCTTAGCTGGCTGTAGCTCACCCTCTCCACTGCCAGAGTTCCCCATAAGTCACGCCACGGGCTGTTGAGGCCACAGAGGCTGCTTCCAGAGCCACCGCTGTGGTGGACACAGCTGCCCTGCAACACCAGTGTGTCCCTTTGCCTTTGTGTGTGTTGGGCCCGGTCTCCTGCAGTAGGCTTGGGATGCTCCGTCTGGACAGGGAAAGACCCGTTTCCTTGCCTTTCCACTTCCGAGGCCACCCGCCAGCTCTATGTCCACCGTGTTGGCCGAGTCTCACCTGTGCTATGCCCGCTTGAGCTCTCTGTCCACCAAAAGGACCCTGTCATCACCTTGGGCTGCCAGTGACCCCGGGCAGCAGCCTCCTGTCTCCAAGTCACTGCGTGGCACCTGAGTTCTTTGCCATGGAGCTTCAGGACCGCCTCTGGGGGCACTGCCCAGCCCACCATGCCCACTGGCCCGGCAAGGGCTCTCCTTGGGCCGCATCCTACAGGAACTCTTGGAATTACAACTCTTGGAATTTACAGTTTGCCTGAGTTAAGAGCCAGGCTGGACCCTGCATGCATACGCACAAGCGCACGCACACACACACACACACGCACGCACTCACGCACATACGCACATGCCCACAGGCCCCCATGCTCTCCCCTCCCCCACCCTAGACTTCTGTTTGTGGGAGAAACAGGGCCATTTGTCCTACTTACTTTTATGTAAGTGTACTCTAATGCTGCCCGCTGGCCTTTGCCTTTTTCTCCTTACAGCTTTTGCTCTTCTTTTGCTGTATTTACACTTTTCATGGTTTTGTTAATGACAAAACATGTGATCTGTTAATGACAGCTTTTCCAGACCCTGTGTTCTCATTATCTGTTCTGATACCTAGGAAGACATTTGGTTTTTACTTCTGAAGTTGTACCTAGCAACACTGCTCAGTTGTCTTAATAATTTTAATTTATCTGTGTATTCATTTGGATTTTCTGTATAACCATGTTATCTGAAAATAATGACCTTTCCTTCTTCCGTTCTTTATGCCTGTTCTTTCTGTTACGTTTGGTAGTTGTCGCTGGGCAAGCTGGTGAATAGTGAGTAGTTTT